CTCTCTCTCTCTCTCTCTCTCTCTCTCTCTCTCTCTCTCTCTCTCTCTCTCTCTCTCTCTCTCGTCTGCTTACCTTCTCTCTTTCTCTTTCTTTTTCTTCTTCCGGTGGTCGGGCCGGCACCGGCCGGCTAAGTTGCTAAGATAAAAGGGATAATAACTGGCAAAGACGGCTATCACCTACGTGCGAGGAATGCAGCGCGCCGAGCGACGGTGACAGGTTCGGCAGCGTAGATGGGGATGGACAATTATAGCTGTGATGTAGATGCCCGTTCAGCTGAGAGCACAATTCGCATATCGTTCACAGGGCATACGCACACTAGGACTTTTTCGATTAAGCTCTGGTCGTGATTGCGATCAGATTCATCCAGGTCTGGCTGTAGTTGCAGTTAGATACATTCAGGGAAGTCCCAGACTAACTGTGAGTCTGCTCTCAGCACAGCACAGCTCGCGGCATCACGACGCGGCAGAGAAAGCCAGCCGCCATGGATTCCATGCAGTACGACAGCGACACGCGATCGAGCAAACCGACAGATCTCGCGATTCTCTATTAACGATGGCAGAGGGGAAAACGCGGGAACGATGAAACCACTAACCTGCTCGTCTTCCCGCCAAGGCATGATTGGCCTCTCCACAGCCAACTACCTCTACCGCCGGTAGCTGCGCTGCTGCCGGTAGCTATGGCACCGCGATAAGGACGACATATCCAACCTCGGCATCGAGCGGTGAGAAAGGCAATGCCGTGGTCCTACCGCGCGGCGCCCAAAAAAAAATGATCCCCTACCGCCGGCGTACTGTAAGGCCGCGCTCACCTAGCACTGACCAAATGCGTGCGAAAATGGCGCCGACCAAATGCGTGCGAAAAATGGCGGGTATGCGGCTCGCTCCACTACTGTCGAAATGTGCAAAACGAGAGTGAATGTTCCGCTAGAACATGGAAAGATACACACCGCCATCATTTTTGTTTTTTGTGCATGTCGAGAGTAGTGGAGCGAGGCCATATTTTTTTTTTTGTTTTGTTTTTTTTCGGGACATCCGTTAAAATTGGAACGATACAGAGAAGATTACCATGGCCGCTCTCCGCAACGATGACACGGATAAATCGAGAAATGGTCCAAAATTCCAAATATATATTTCCCGTTCTGTAGGAAAGATGCACTCGACATTTTTCTCAAATTTCCCGACTACCGCCGTGGTAGTGGCGCGAAGCCCAATCCCACTACTACCGTTGCGTGTCCTCAACGCCTGAATGTGGATGTGTTTGTGGCAGTGTGCAGAGATGGCGTTGAGTTTCCTCAACCGCACACATCGCCACAAACACATCCAGATTCAGGCGTTGAGGAAACTCGACGCAGGTGCCGGTAGTGGGACTTGGCCCACGGTAGGACCGTTCGTTGAAAATTTTTCGGAAAAGTCCGAACAATATTTCATATATACAAATTTGGACCATTTCTCGAAAAATTTGAATATGACAATGTATATGTATACATATGTATATAATGTATATATATATAGATGCACATAACGATTCTCTAGACGGAGAACACACGCCGAGATGCTGACTGGTGTAGTAAGCCGGGATGTGTGTGGACAGACTCCACTCAAACCGAAACGGCTCTGGACGGGAGGATCAGGATATCGTTGCCCCTCTGCCTCTAGAACAGAATCTGAGGGACATACGTCATCTGCCCTCCTTTCTCCCCTCCTGCCCGAGCGAAGTCCTTCGCTCGGGATTTCGTGGCCTCGGTCTGACGTGCAGCCCTGGGCTGGCCACCGGCCCGCCGCGTCTTCGGCTGAGGTCCAGCATTCTGGATCGTTTGTCTGTGACCCTAGATAACGAAGATCGACGGCCAGAAACTAAGAATCCAGGTAAGGTCCCAGGTAAGTGGGGCCTTACCCCAACGAAGATCGACGGCCAGAAACTAAGAATCCAGGTAAGGTCCCAGGTAAGTGGGGCCTTACCCCAGGAAGTCATCCAAATCGCCAGTTGGGGCCTTTGATCACCTAGCTATCAGATCAAAGTCATCTCTTCTCCTACCTCCTCCCTCCTCTCCTCCCAAAGCCTCAGATTTCCTGGTCCCGGTCTGAGTGCAGCCCTGGCCTGATCGCCGCATCCAAGACCAAGGTTCCTGGATTCTCGATCCTTTGTCGCGGACCGTAGATGACGAGCATCGACAGGCAGAATCCAGGTCAGGTCCCAGGTAAGTAGGACCTACCTCAGAAAGCCGTCCAATCCACCAGTCGGGGCGGCAGATGACAGCAATCAGATCAAACTCCCAGCCTGTAAGTAGTACTAGTAGGAGGAGGAGGACGAGGGGATGACTATGATTAAACCACCAGCATGTGCGACCCTTCTGCAGACCTCTGACAGTTTTTTTCATCAATGAATGAATTCACCGGTCGAGCCAGCCCTGTACATCCACAGAGCAGCCGGCGTCTTAACCGGCGCATCTTGCTCGGTTCAGAATGATGATGCTCATGATGAGATGATGAAAATGAATAACAACAGTAGCTGATCCCACTGATCCACTTCTCTGAGAGGGAAAATAACAGAAGCTGGCTCCATCTATGCACTTCTTTGAACTCCACTCCCCTGTCCTGTGGTCCATTCAAAATCTCTGTCATTTCCATAAGCGGTCTCTACCCCTCTGCAAGGTCCCACTTGCCGAGTTCTTAATTTGCCACCGTCGACCTTATCTATGTAAGTCAGAAATGGAGAATCTTCCCAGGTGGGACCACACCATTGGCCCACTGCCAGAACAACAAAAAAGCTCACAAATGTGCATATGGATTGTCAGACTTGCATCTCTCTCCATCCCCCCAGCTGACAAGCAATTGGTTTAAAGTCGGCTGATTCCTCTGTGACCTAGGAATTCTCCTGCACCAGCCCATGTGCCTGAATGGTACACATATGTAACTGTGAGTACACCTATCATGAGGAATCATATGGAATAAACAATGTTTGGGGCTCTTTGAAGAAAAGGAGGAATTCTCCTGTGTCAAAGGGACAGCGGGCAAGCAAGAATTTCAACATCTAGGATTAGGCTAACTTGTGACGCCCAACCTCACGCCCGGCGCGACTTTGTGACGAACCACTTTCTGTAACGCGCGATTTTCTGCGCTGTTGCAATGAGGAGTCCTAAGTTGGGAAGGTTGGGCCAATTACGGGAGATCGCGATCGGTGAGAAATTGCATCGGTGTCCTTGCTTTTTCGTCTTTTCCATCGCTTCTTTTCGAATGGCTGGGTTCGGAGCTGGGCGTGTTCTGGGATGGCCGGTTGATTGATTGGTCGGCTGGATGGCTGGCGCGCCTTCGCGCGCGCGATTAATAAATGTTGACGTCGTTTCTCTCGCTTCGGTTTCGATCTTTTGGGCGCGGACATCGCGCGGGAATTTGCCTTGTTCTTTTTTAATTTTTCTTTCAAATCTTCTCGAATTTTGTGGAGCCCCGATGGCTCTTGGAATTTCGGACTTTCTTCCCGGAACCTGTACTTTTG